TCTTCCTTGTTCATTTAATGGGTGACATAGATGTTATTTGAAGCGTACAATGGCGTTAATCTCCAGAATATTAGGAAAGGTGTCCTTTGTTGTGACTGCAGATAATTCTTTGAATTAAACCGAGTCTTTTTTCGCCGTTTCTTCTAGTCACATGGTAGTGTAATAGGGTGAACAAGAGGAGAGAAAAAGCGCTTTTTTCCATATATCGATGATAAAAGTGACATCTTTGATCCCAAAAGTGAGCTATTATCGTGGGTACCCTCCTAAGGTGCGCTTTTGAAGCGATTTCATATGCTCTTCTCTTTGCGACTATCACTGACACAGAGCGTGTCCCAAAATGTGACTGTTTGAAAAGAGGAGCTTTACAATTCCACATTTTCCAGGCCCTGATTAATTTTGAAGAACTAGTTAACAATCCATAAATGGATGTTGGATCTTTTCTTATTGCAGCAATGTTAGGGTCTAAAGTTTGCTTTGCTGATGGCTTGAAGTACCTGCCTAACTTCCAACGGTACCAAATGGCTTTCATATTCTCTAAGCATACTTAAAAACTCCGCCATGGATAACTTCAGTATTTCCGTATACCAATGATGTCTCACTCCTGCATTTTTTCTAGGACACTCAGTGTATTTTCATATACACTATATAACGCTATAGATGCTAAACAGAATTACAATGGATTCTGTGGTGACTAGAATTAATGTTTGCTCTGTTGAAGTCAGGGCACTTACTGCTAAATGAGCTAAGACCAAATATTTTCTGATACTCAGTATAATAACAACCAAGCATCATCATCCACATAGATGATAGGGTGAATAAAAATATCGAGCAAAAAGTTGATGATCGAGAAAAACACCTTCTCTTTAAATGTGTGAAACTGAACAGAGAATCGAAGGAGGTTTAAAATTTCCACTTATGTCATTTGAGTGTATCCATCAATCGATATTGTGTACAAGTAAACCATCTCGAGTTGTTTTTTTGACTATTCCTATACCATGATGGCAAGCTAGATACAATAGGAAGTATCTACATTCTCTACTATATGTTAAATTAATTTTTTCCTGAATTATTGTATGGTGATGACGCTATACGCCTAGATAACTGCATTCTCCATTGATAGTAACAGCCTTTCTGAGCAAATTATGAAGTTGAATTCTTGGTTTGAAACCCAAAATGTTTACTTTTCGTTTTTTTCATGCCAGCAGGCATGTTTTTTTGACGTTTAAGTTTTTCTAGGACACTCAATATATTTCCATATAAACGTTATAACGCATATGGATGTTAAATAGAATCATCTGATCACGAAGAAGTTTCGAAACCTACAAGCATTCGCAAACTTTCAGTGTGCATTATTGCACAACTTTACGTGAATATTTCTGACGTTCCCATAGGTTTTAGAAGTTTTGACCTGCTGCAAATGCGGAAGTCCTCTTCTTGCTATACGAAATTTCGCTCTACGGGTTTTCAAGACTTTTCTGATTTTTAAGGAATAGAATATTAGATGGACAGCAATTTTAACCCTCGTTAATTCGATTTTAAACGTAGCAAAAAAAAATTTGCAAACTATAGAAAAGGTATAACCATGAAAAACTTAACGTCTTTTAAGAATTGGCTGAACGACTTTATCGAAAGGTCGCGGTGCTTTTGCATTGCCATCGGCAATTGAGAAGCAGAAAGAGGTTCCAAACAATGACAAACACCCTCTTTTTGAATGACTCCTACCATTTTATATGAAATTGTTTTTCGAAAAAATTTCAGATTTCACTAGTGAAGAAAAAACCTAAGTAACAAAAATATAACTTCTTTCTCGACGCGAAGTTTTCGTTCCACAACTCAATAAATAAAACAAAATTGAGTTCGAATGAATTGGACTTATTTGAACGAGGTTTTGTAGAGGAAGAAAAAGCTTTAAACTATATACAAAACGTGATCCAAAATTTCCTGAAAGTGGCAGAAATTAGAAGGAAAGGCACGGAAAATTGTGTAACTTCATCAAAAGCAAGATCTTTGCGACTACGCTTAGAAGTAGCTCTTAGCTGTCCATCAGGTCAGCGTAGGTCCTCTTGGGAGAAAGAAAAACGACGAATCGCATAATCATGTAGATGACTGGGGTCGATTGCGGACAAACAGACAAGGGAATACAATGTGAAAGAGAGGATGAAGGATGTAAAAGAACTTGGATTAGTAGAAAATTGAGACACTTTCTATTTTGGGCTATAAATATCTAAGGCAGAGCGATGAGGCCTTTCTGAACATAAACAACAAGTAAAGTTTTCTAGTTGCTATTGTTTTATGCATAAATAAAGCTTAAGAAAGGTTTGCAAAATGGAATGAATAAATTAAATCTTTTGAAAAGATAGCTGTTTGTGGGTTTTTTGTGCTTACTAATTTGAATCGGTCAGCACTGGCATCTTTTTTACCATAACCGCAACTACATTGTACCTTCTTTTGACCCTAAAAATTTTGTTTGTACAACCCTATAAAATCTATTCCCCAAAATAGCCAAAACAAGTACCCAGCGCTTCCAAAGTTTGAGTTCATGCTTTGAATTGAACAAATCATCATGTTTCTTTAGGTTGATTTTTGATTTCACATTTTTGCTAACCTACAATTGAGTGATTATCGGAAAAGAGCATTATTCACATTTTGTAGGATTTGAGGTGACTTTGTTGGATTGAAGCAAAGGTAAGCAACCTCAAAAGCAATCCAAGATACTCGTGTTCAAGTTTTTCAAACAAGGATTTTGGTGTGACTAACATAAGCTATATGTGAATCGACAAAACCCTAAGATTTGCCGTCTTTTTTCGTACTTCCGCGAATGAGTTGCAACGGCGTAACTTAAGTGTGTCTTGCGATACGCTTATCCAGCGTTTTTCGTGGATACATAGGTCCTAGCGAAAGGGGTCAGACAAGGTGAAATCTAACGAGAAATTGCTGGCTATTTGGCTGTGGGATAGCGACCATTGCGGAAACTTCTGGCGGGATTTCATAGCTCATTCCGTTATTTTTCGCCCTAATTTGGAGGTTAGCTTGGCAGAAGGATGTCTACTACAATGTAACGAAAATTCGTAAGTTATGGTCTTGCCCGTATACTGTACAAGGGGAATAGGTTAGTCCCTTTTCCTTCGAGAAGTGCATTAGTTGATTCCCAACCCCCCTACATATGAAAACTTATCATTTTCCTCAATTTCTTGAGATTTTTGTATAC